GCTCTGCTGGGCTCCCAGCAAGCCTGGCACCTGCATTGGGAAAGCCTGGCCAGCCCTCAGCACCCAAGGAAGAAGAGGTTGCCACAAGCAATTTCTGCTGTGAAGCAAAACTCGTTAACCATATTCAATGGAAATAGTGCCCAGGGAAGGGGGAAGCTCATGGTCTTCCTCTTCCCTCTTGTCATCAACCCTTGTCTCAAGCCCCCTCTGGGTTCTTTCTCACTCCCTGAGGTCCCTCTCCAGCTCCCATCTCCTGCTCTCCTTTACCTCCCCACACACCTCCACCTCTCTTCACCCCAACCTTTGGTCTCAAACCATGCCATGATTTGCAGACTGGAAGTGGTCCTGCAGTTTATTTCCTGAGATGTTACACTGTTTACAATGGTAAGTGGAGGCACTTCAAGACCCCTTCAAATAAGGGAGAACCATACTGAATGTTCACCTGCTTCCTGAGAGCCTCTGGATATGTCCCCTCTCCCTTCCTGCTCTGCTTCCCATAGTCTCTTCCCATCTCTTGTCTCCTGTCTGAGCAGAGCCAAAGGGACCACTGTGGCTGCCACCCCCTGCCCTGATCCCTGCAGCTGGCTGCCTTCCCAGTAACACTGTTCCCGTGGCCAGATGCCTCCAGGGCTACTGTGGGTGGCAACTTCTCCAAGACTGCTTTTCTTGCTCCTTGGCAGCCCCCTCCGGACAAGTGGTGGGAGGAGAGATGCAACTTCACTTCTCCCTGTCTCTCACTGTCTCAACACATTCATGAGGACGTATTGTAGAAATGGGACCAGCCACAGCTCCATCCACCACAGCCAGGATGGCAAATTTCTCCCTGGCAGAAGGGCTGTGAATTTCTGGATGGTACATGTTGAGCACTGGACTCAGGCTGGCAGACAGAGAGCAGAGTTGCGGACAACCTGCTGGTCTCTTGTCTTTCTGATCTCTGTGCATCACAGCCTTTAAACACATGCACACTCATTCCTAACTCTATTTCTCAGGCTTTCCAGCTGAGGAATATGCCAGTAATACTTTGTGAGGAAGAAGGCAGCAGGAGCCAGGGCACTGACTCCCGCAGCCCCCAGCAGTGCCCCAGGACCCCTCAGGGCACTGACCGCTCCAGCACAAGGTGCGTCCACACCGGCTCAGGGCGTACCCAGCACATCTCACATGGACTGAAGTGGCACAGCCAAGTTTCATCTATTTCCTCCTCTGCTACTCTTTCTTGGCAACTTTCTCACCACTTCCCTCCTTACACAGCAATCCCTAATACTTCATTTTCATTGCCTCTGCCAACCATATGTATTCTTCTTGTCTGCTCAGATCTAGGACAAGGCAGCGCAACCTAAACTCTGCTTTGAATCTCACTTGACTTGTGTTTTCGCCTGGCAGATACAACAGAAAATCACTGAGACACCTCGTTTGATCTCACAGGCCAAACAGGACTCTCTCTACCTACAACCTTAAAGCAGTAGTAGGACCTAAAAGTAGGACCTTAAAGTAGGACCTGCACAAAACAATGCCTTAATCTCAGTGCCCCCTCTCCTGGCTCCTGACAAGCAGTGCACACACAGGCCCTCCCAGGCCACGGCCTTCCTGAGGTCATCGTTTCAAACTCTCCTAGGAACTAATGGGAAAACCGAACATGCACCTCAGCCCACAGCAGAGGTTACTGCAGACTTGGGCAGAAAAGGAGCAAGACAATGTCGCTAAAACTTCATAACACCAGCAGGGTATAAAGCTGCAACCTGACTCCGTATCTAAGGTAGGCTGAGATGGCGGTATTGTTTGAGCAGAGAGTGGAACATGAAGCTTCCAGCGTCACTGGCCCCAATTCATTGCAGAAGTATCTTAGTGCTGAAGAGATCAGATTGGTTTTGCACATGGGGTCAGAGGACACAATAAACTATATAAAAACTCAATACACTAGTAACATGTATGTTCAGCTCCAGTCCAGAGGCAGTAGGTTGGGCATCTTCTCCACAGCAACGTGCACATGACATCCCCATTGCCCTGCTGACACCATGTCAGGTTTAGTTCCAGAACAAAGTCTATCAGGCTGTTCCCACACCCAAATGCCTCCTGGGCCTAGACATAAGAAGCAGCTCTGAGTAAGCAACACTACAGTAGAAGATAGAACTCAAGGCAAGTACTCAGATGGTCTTCACCCACGAGACACGTTCAAGGGAAGCCCAAACTGGAATAGCTTCTTTCAAAAGCAGCATCTGTCTGGCCCAGACTTGAATCACATTGCTCCATCAGCACAAAACACAGAAAACCACGTTACACCCACTAGAGTTCAGGTCTCGCAAAGCAAAACCATCAGACGTAAGTCGAAAGTGTGCATGGTCTTCCCCCATTACTCACTTGTGTGAGATGATGAAACCAGGGCAATCAGTTACCCTTCCACCAGCTTTTGCACAAAGTCCCACCGACAGTTCTGCTCAGCATTTAGTGCTCAGGCTGCTGTCAACTCTAGCAAAAGCACTTCTGAGTAGGTAAGATCAGGGAAACAGGAGAAACACGGGCTTAGCACCGCACGCTCAGCTACTCTCTACAGGGTCAAGTGGCTGTTCAGGTCGGAGAGAAAGGCAGAGAGTGGGAAAAGCACTTCTTTTATAAGTTATCACATATGTGGCAGTCTTGAAGAAGCTTAGCAGTTAAAGTTTTAATGGAACTTATCAAGGAAACCACAGAGACTTTCAAAAAGGGGAATCTTTTAGCTCTGACAAGCACTTACCAAGTAAGCATCTGTGCTGAGAGATGCAGTAGAGATTGGAAAATCTGGCTGGTCTATCTGCTGTAACAGAGACACTGCCTACAGTCCAGAGGACAAAACACTCAATAAAGGAGCATTACCTTCGTTTGTCAGAAAAGGAAACTGAGGCAAGGAACAGTTTTGAGTTGCCTCCTGCCAAGCAGAGGCAGTGCTAGATGAATAGCTTATTTCTTTTAAAAAATACCCAACTCCAGAGCCATATGCTGTGCTACCAGACAATATGCTTTATAAAAAGCGCATCTGGGGACAGAAGCAGCTCTGTGTGAAGAAAGCACTCACACTGTGCCTTTTACTGAATTACATCACATCTCTGTTAAGAAACTGGTTCGATTAAAATTCTGAATTAAGCTTTTGTAATAGCTGGTCACCAAAAAATGACTAGAAAAACACTGATAGGAAAGGCCTGTGCTCCTAACTCAGTTAGGTGCCAGTGTTTCTCTCATAAAAATAATATGTAGTGTTACAGTATGTCAGTTCTGAAAATGTTTCTTGCTGCTCCTGCTCCTGGTTGCCTTTGGTCTGAATGACACCACCTATTGCTTCCAGGCTTGCAGAAGCAAACAACCACTTCATTCAGCTGACCAAAAATAAATCAATGCTAGAGGACAAACTAAGACACTGTTTAGAGCAAAGGAGACCAAGGAAGAAACATGAATGTTTTGTGAAAAGATTATTTAGGTAGGTGAGAAAGTACGTGTGTGCTCTTCGCATTTAACTGGGGGTCTAACCTCCACAGACTGCCTAGGGAGGCTGTGGGTCCTGCTGCAGAGGTGGCTTCTAAAGGCCTGGCTGACAAACATCATCCTGAGATGGATTAGACAGGGCGAATCACGGAGTATCTCAAGTTGAAAGGGACCCATAAGGATCGAGTCCCAACTCCTCGCTTTAGGGGGAGGACTGGGCTAGGTCAGCACATACCTCTTTTCAAAAACAGGCCATTAAAACCCAAAAAATATTCTTACATGAACACATAACTAATCAGCATCTGAAGTTTCACATATTTTTTATTTGATTATAATGGAAACCATTGTGGCAATAGTGTAAAATGTGTCTATGGACTGATTTCTCATAAACATCAGTAGTCCTCCAGTTTAAAAGCTGAGGGACATGGGGAGAAATTACACTTCGAAGTCCTTTTCAGACCTCTTTTGTATAGTTCTGTAATGAAGATTTACTGTGCCATGCTGAAGATACACAAGTTCAAACTCTTCTAACTTACAGCTTTCTGTGGTGCAATCATGAAGGAGAGTTTGTGTTCATAAAAAGTACAGAGCACTCTTTTGTTGTATTTCTGAACAGAAAAAAAGAGGCATTCCAGCAAGCAAAGAAAAAACAAACAAAAAAGTATCAACAGAATATCAAATCTACTAATTAAACACTGTTATTTAAAATCACAGGATTAGATTTTTGAAGGGTCTTACTGTTGTTTATTCCTAAATGCTCAGTGTTACTAAAAGTGACGTTGCCTACCTGCAAAAAGACAGTGACATTGAGGACTACTTAAGGGTTTGTTTTTTTTCTCCCCACTCTGAAAGTAGCTGCACAAAATGTTGGCAAATGAGCAGCCATCTGCTTGGACTTTGCACTCAGCAGTAAAGAAAAATGTTCTTACAAATGTAGGAAAATGAGTTGGGATAGTCACCAAAATCAGTCCAGAAACTGATGGAACTAGTGATTTTGGTTATAACCCAACTGGATCTGAAAGTCACCATCTCAAAGTAATCCTTCCAACTCAAAAATGCTTCTCATCAGAGATGACTTAGACCTGCATCCCTTGCAGCTGAAGCACTGATTTGCTTCCCTTGCAGCTCTGATGCTATGTGAGTCTGTTACAGCACTTGGAGAAGGAGGGTACGAATAGAGACAGCCAGCTTCCACCCACTACCCACCCCTCTTCAACAAAGCTGAGGTAACATGGAATCACCTCCATCCACCTTGTGTTTCACAAAAATGCCATTTATAAAATCAATAGATTGATTAGTTGATAGTGTCTCTCCCACAACTTGAGCAAACAGCTATTACACATGTGGGGTAAGTCAGACAGGAACTACTTCTTCACTTGTATGACTGCACAAATGTAGCTCCTGACCACATTACCTGTAAAAGAGGAATGATATAAGCAGGAATGAATTATCTATCACAGCCACAATTTTGTAGAGACCTGCACTTTCCAATCCATGACTAATTTTACTGCTGCAGAGCAATTCACAACAGACATTTCACATTACAAGCATCCCCATACAAATATTCAACATAAAAATCCAGAAATAGAGAATATACAAAAGCTCCATCAAAACGCATAGGCTATTGTGTGCCATTAACTCATTAAGTGCAGCAGTTATTTGATCTTGCATGTACTTGAAATACTTTGCAGGCACAGCTTCCAACTCACCTCCTGTGCCCTGTACAGCTGAGGCAAAGATGCCAAGGTGCTGGTGCAGCCTGCACGCTGCCCCCTCTCACCACCTCCCATATTGAAGTATCCAGTACTTCGGTATGGGAGGCCACGCACCCTTTGTACTTAGGTTTCCAGTTTGAAGTATCCAATAACCAGGTGCATGTGCAAGGCCAGTAACAACAACTCCAAGATTTGGATCTGGCTGTCACTTGCAGCAATTCCCACAGAAGAGGAAGTGCTCAGTATCATTACGATCTGGCTCCTCCACTTAAGTAGTCTGCAAGGTCCAGCTGCTACAGATGATTAGAAGCACCCGTAAGATGTCTAATACCTGCTTCAAAGGACAACCATCCTGATCACCATGAGAACTACATCCTACAGAGATAACCATCTGTTTTCTATTTCCAATCCAATGGGACTTCAGATAATTTAGTTTTAGGGCATCCACACAGGATGATAACCACTGTGCTGTTCAGAAGATCCAACTCCAACTCCAGTGACTCATACTGGTAAGAATGACATTTACTAGGATCATTTAGATGGATCAGAAGGAAGGAAACTCAGTTCATTTGCTCTGTCCCTTCTACTAACCAAATTCAGTAATCAGAATTTCTCATGGGAAAATAGATGGCTCAGAGGTTGAGAATTGCGGAGTTTCCATTAAAGTTGCTGCTTCTGATCCAGTCCAGACTCACTCTTTGTTGCCTTCTGTTGCCTCCTCTGTAAAACAAGCAGAGGAGCTTAACACCCATTACAGACACACATCCCTTGCATCAAACAAGAACATTCTCCATCACATGCAGCATCAACCCCGCAAGGGCCAAAAGGGAGAGTGAGGATGAGACTTGCATACCCACTTCACTTGCTACATGGTGGAGGAGGTGTTTTTCTCCAAGGCACTAAGTACAAAAGTCAGCATATAAAAACATTCCTGCATCACAAAGAGTACCTGTTGCACCTCAATGTATAAGAAATGAGAAAAATTCAATGCAGTCTGTACCACACTTTTTTCCACATCACTGGTGGTCTCCAAAGAACAGGGAACCTGGTGACAGCTGTTCCTAGGAGGTTTGAATGAGAAGGGCAAGATGAAATACAGAGAGTTACACTTTTCTCCCAAAAGATCTGATACTGTAAATATCCATTTGGAAGATAAGGAATAATAAATATTAATCACCCTTTTAGAAAACCCTTTCAGCCACCTAGCAAACACTTTAACTGAAAATCCTCAGGAGTTGTATGGGTAAGCTGCAAAGCTATCCAGTGATGTGAGGCTATCTATTTTTTATACCCTTGCTTCCTGCCTTTAAAATTTGCACTAATGTAATCCAAAGATGTTACAGAGAAGAATTCCCATCAATGATCAGGAAGCCTGTCCTTCCCCAAAGCTGTTCATCTTGCTCTTCTGTGGCAGACAGACTGTAAACCTCTCAGTGTTCTGCACTGTAGCACCACGTTCTTCAAGGTTTTCAACAATCCACATCTGTGAACTTTCTTTTCCCGTAATTCTGGACCAGACTGGAAGCTGTGATTTGAGAAGCCTGTCCCTTTTCCCAGCACTGGAAGTCATTCAGCCCTTTCTGGCCAGCTCGAAATAAGGCTCGCTCCAGTTCATCCAGCCGAGCCACCAGCGCTGATGTGTCTTCGTTGTAGGCATTCTGAGAGGAGTCCATGATACGACGGAAACGGCTAATAAACGTCTAACAAAGATAAGCAGAATTATTGACAAGTAACACAGAGGTTTCTTCAGCTCAAATGCTAGAAGCCTGAGAAGCCTGCTTTTTCAAGACTAGGCTCTAGTTGACGACTAGTCAAGGGTCTGCAAACAGCACAGCACTTATTAACCCTGGATACAAAGACAAAACATTTCCTGTCTGAGCTGGGAGAGCAAGTGCCTGATACACTGGATGGGAAGAAAGAATAGAATTAGATTTTGGTTGCTTCCTAATGACAGGCTTGAGCAGACCACAGGGTATAACACAATTACAATCTATTCCATCTCGTTTCACAAGCAATTATTGCTTTAGAGAGGGTGGAATGAATTTCATGCCACAGCAACTGCTGCAGGAGCATACAAGCTAAAACTTGTGAAGGGCCTGGAAGTTAAACCAAACACAGCCACTGTAAAGCATTCGGTATGCTGAAAAAACACTTAACCACCAAAAAATTAAAAAAACCCAAATCTACGACTAATAGATAAACATTTTAGAAAGCTAAGCAATAAGACATATTTATGGATTTTTACTTCCCTCCCTATCTTTACTTTTGTGGATAAAGGGGGTCAAAACTCTTTGAAAACTGCTTTGTTATTTCAGAAGCTGATTCCAGAATCATCAGAACTGTAGTATTTTAGAGATTTACTAACAGAATAAATATATTATAAATTAATAACTCTCATTTTGTCTCTGACACCAAATAGTTATACTTCACATGTATAGTTCCTGAATATTTGGGAGACGAAGTATTTTTGGTGTTTTGTTTACTTTTTAAGTCAGCACTACTCCCCCCCCTTGCTTGCTTTTATTAAAGAGAAAGCATACCTTGCATGTTTTGATTTTTCTGTCAACAAGTAATGCATGCTAATGTGGGTTTTTTCCTAAGATGTCCATTAGCAGAAAGAGAAAAGACAAGGAAAGGTGGGGTCACCTCCTCAATGCAGAAAGCAAGCTTTCAGTGGACAGTCCAAGAAAGCAGCAGTGCTTTAAAGCCTCTCTGCATCAGCCCTCATTTAAAGAGCAGAAGGAAAAAAAAGGAGAAAAAAAAAAGCGCCAATAACAATCGTCCCAGACTACTTAGAGAGCTAGCTGAAGAAATCTCAGAACTGTTAGTGGTTATCTTTAAAAGCTCAAGCAGCACTTAAGTCCGGAAGCTGGCAAAGATGGTATCTATCTTTTAAAAGAGAAAGGGGATGAAGACGGAGGAAGAGCCAGGGAATTAAATCCATGAGTATCAATTCCTGGAAACATACTGGAACAAATAAACTATACATAAACTTCTGCAAGAAAAATAAGAGTGAAGAGTAGCAGCCAGCCTGGACTTGCCAAGAACAAACTTTGAGACACCAGCCTAGCTTCCTATTACAGCAGGATGCTGGGCCCTACAAGGGGAGAAAAAGCAGCAGACAGGTATCTGCAATGGGACATTCTTTCAAGGTTTGGCTAAACACTCATAGGTGGTCCGTAAAGACAATTATCCACAGCTCCTGTCAGGAGGGAAGAACATATAAAGCGGAGTGCAACAGAGGTCCATCTGGAACCAAGTACTTTTTGATATATTAATACACTTACTAAAGGAACCAAAGTTATGCTTATTAAATTAGCAAACAACATACAGGAGGAGGGATGACTGCAAGCATGTTGGGGAGCAGACCTCTTTAATTCATAATGATCCTGACAAATTAGAAAAATAGCAAGAAAACAACAGGATGTAATTCAGCTGGGACTAATGTAAGGTTTTACATTAAGGAAGAAATAGGGAACTGTACAAATGCAGGAAGAGGAATGATTGTCTGGGTATACAATCTGTACTGTCTTACTGTGGACTGTAAACTGAACACCTATCAATGTCACTATTGTGAAAAACAAGATGAGCAAAGAGTATCATGGTCTACAAAAGTCACAAAGTAATCTTTTTGTTTTCATCAGCACAAGTCCTGAGCAGGAGACTTCAGGGCACTGCATGTCACAGTGGATGCAGATCAACTGTAAAGATAGCAGTGCACAGTAAGGACAATCGGAGGTTAGAAAGCATGACTCATGAAGAGATACCAAATGAACTGGGACTGCTGAAAGAAGGAAGAGAATGATCTGTTTACTCTGTATGAGACAAACAGAACAGGGCTTGTATTGCTGCAAAGGAGCTTTAGACATTAGAGGAAACCTAAGATTAGGATGGTGAAGCACTGAAACAGAATGCTCAGAAGACTGTGCATTCACATCACTGCAAAGTAGAAAAGCAGAAATAATAGAGGGTGAATCAATTCTGCCTTGCAGCACAGGCACAATCAAATAATCTTACCTGTCTTACAGGATTTTATGAAATACCATCTTTATAGTGTGGAAACTCCAAGCTAAAATCACACTCCTGGTACAGACTTGAGGCTTCCACCATTAGATGGTGTGGTAGCCAAAAGGGCCATCCTACAGCTTTATCTAGAAATCCATATTCAATCCAGAAGTCATTTGGATTAAAACAGAATATTGTTCCCGAAGACTGATAAGCTGCTAGGGACAAGAGGAAGATGGAAAAGTGTAAAACTAAATTTCAAGACTTATTTCAGTTACTTGCCTGCAGGATAGTCTGAGCTATCTCAGGATTCTCTGGATTGTCAAAATTCAGGAGCTGGGAACCAAATCCATAGTAGTATGGCCCCATTTTATGCAGATCGACCACATTGGCATCAGCGCTGAACACTGTCCTCCAAGCTTCCTTGTAAATCTTTGGCAGTTCCACAGAAATTATTCTTCTTTTGCTGTCATGTAGACCTTTAGCAAGCCACAGAGGTACTTCCAGCTTTGATCCCTGCATGAATGAGAAAAACCAAAAGTTGTCCTTGCCATGAAAATACAAGTAAAGCAACCTCAAAGACAGAGAGTGAACTTTATTAATGAAGATCCGGTATTAGAAAAAGTCAATTTTGTTTTCAGAACAGACTACTGTAATTGTGATATAAACCAGACACACTTTAGAAGCATTATTACTGCAAGGTTCTGAAAGTGGATTTTTTTTTTTTAATCGATGTTCTTACTGTACTTAAAAAGCAGCTAGGAGCATAAATTTGCTTGCAGTGATCCCAAAAAACGAGCGCGGCCGGAGTCTGGACGCGCGGGAAGAGCTGCGCGGGGCTGCCCCCGAGCCCCCGCGGCCCGGCGCGGCCCGGCCCAGCGCGAAGGCCAGGCGTGGCAGGCCG